AAGACACGTTAAAAAATCTTGCCTGGGAAGTATTAACTCCCTTCCCCTCCCTCCCCGTATTCACCAGACCTTGCTCCTTCAGATGACCACTTGTTTCGATTGATGGCACACGCACTTTCTGAGCAGCACTTCAAAATGTATGAAGAAGTGGAAAATTGGGTCTCTGAATGGTTTGCCTCAAAACAAGAAAAGTCCTATTGGGACGGTATCCACAAATTACCTGAAAGATGGGGGAAATGTGTAGGTAACGATGGACATTACTTTGAATAAGGCGTTTTTGATGTTTCTCTTGAAATTATCGTGTTTTCTTTGATTACAAAATCCGCCATCATCAACCGGTACATCTAGTAAACTTGGCACTGAAAATGGAAGAGGAGAAAGGTTAACCAAGATGAATGGCTTTGCATTTGCCTTTGCAAAGACAGAAAAACATCATACTGCCTTTATGAGACCTCTCAGCCCAGACTCCACCCCAGGAAGCCTTCTCAGACTGCTATCTGCTGTCTGAGGCTACACGTTGTTCCTGGCCCAGCTCCAGACTCTGGAGGCTTTTCCTAGTGTGGCATAACCCCCTCCCCTCGCCCCCTCGAATGCACACATGTATCAATCCCTCACTCTTCCTGTCCCTCAGGCTTTGCCTCAGTAGATTCTGGATACTCCAGCTGGGCCAGGAGACGGCGGTGTGGTGCTCCAGGTCCAATCTGGGCAGGCTGAGCTGCACATAAATCACCAAGTGCTTTATGTCAGTAAAGTGCAGAGGCTGACAGAAATGAGGTCCGGCAAGGTGCCTAGGATGGCGGAGATGATGCTGAGTCAAAGGCCTGGCCTTTCCTTTCACACATTTCTCCCACAACATCCCTGCAAGGGGCTGGGCTCCTGTGCCAGCTCCTGCCCATCCAGAGGCCAGCCTCATACCCAGACCCCAACTATTGCTATCCTGGCAGTGGCAGACCTGGTCACTGAGCAGGGGCTGACAGAGAGCCTCCATCACAGAGAACCCTTGGTAAAGGGTCTGACCACCCCTTGCCTTCTTCAGTAAGGCCGAGGCACTTCTCTGTTGGCATCCTGTGGCCTCCTCCCCACTGGAACATAAACTCTATGAGAACAGCGAGAGTGGGATCTGCTGTACCTTGCTGGCACACTGTCGGTGCTCCATGACTGTCTTACAGGTGAAGAAATAGAGTCTGTTTCCTCCCCAGACTTCACAAGGCCTGCATGCACCTCAGCCTGCAGCTTATGGAACTGGGGTGGTTTGGGTCTATTTCCAGCTCCAACTCCCCAAGCCTGATGCTCTGGCCTTCCTACAACTTCCTTGAGCCACCTGCTGTGTTTTGTAAAAGTCCCCATTTTTCTTAATTAGCCTAGCTAGAGGTTTATCAATTTTATCAAATAATCAACTTTTGATTTCATTGATTTTGTCTATTGATTTCCTGTTTTCAGTTTTACTTATTTCTGTTCCAATATTTGTTATTTTTGTCTATTTTAAGTTTATATTATCTTTTTTCTCTAGTTATTTAAGGTAGAAGCCTATACTATCAGTTTTAGAGCTTTCTTATTTCCTAATATATACATTTTTAATTCTATACATTTCCCTCGAAGCACTGATTTTGGTGCATCCCATAATTTTTCATAACTTGTGTTTTCATTTTAATTTAGTTTTAAATATTTTAAATTTGTCTTGCAACTTCTTGTTTGACACATGTGGTATTTAGATATATGTTGTTTAATCTCCAAACATTTTGAGATTTTTTTCCAGCTATGCTTCTGCTATTGATCTCTAGTTTAAAATTCACTGTGGTCTGAGAGCATACTTTGTATTTCTATTCTTTTAAATTGTTGAAGGTTTGTTTTATAACTTAGAATGTGGGATATATTGGTGAATATTCCATGTGAGATTAAGAAAAATGTGTACTCTTGCTGTTGTTGGATGAAGTGTTTTAGAAATGTCAGTTAGGTCCAGGTGATGGATGGTGCTATTCAGGTCAACTATATCCTTGCTGGCTTTTTGCCTGCGGAATCTGTCAGTGACTGATAGAGGGGTGTTGAAATCTCCAACTATAATAGTGGGTTTGTCTATTTCTCCTTGCCAGTCTATCAGTTTTTGACACTCTATTGTTAGGTGCCTATGCGTTAATGGTTGTTATGTTTTCTTGGTGAATTGACTTCTCTATCATTATGTAATGAACTCTTTATCCCTGATAATTTTCCTGTTCTGAAATCAGCTTTTTCTGACATTAAGATAGCGACTCCAACTTTCTTTTGATCCATTTTTACATGGTATATCTTTCTTTATCCCTTCACTATTATATTGTGGTAAAATATGCATAATGTGAAATTTACCATTTGAATGGTTTTTAAGCAATCATCATCACGATCCATCTCCATGACATTTTCATCATCCCATACTGAAACTTTGTACCCATTAAATAATAACTACCCATTCTCTACTCCCCAGCCCCTGGTAACCATTCTACTTTCTGTCTCTATGCACTTGCTTATTCTATGTATTTCATGTAAGTGGCAACATACATATTTGCCTTTTTGGGTCTGGCTTATTAGCATAATATCTTCAAGGTTTATCCATGTTTTAGCATGTATCACAAGTTTATTTCTTTATAAGGCTAAATAATATATTCTATTATATATATACATATACCACATTTTGTTTATTCACTCATCTGTCAATGAACACTAGGGTTGCTTCCACCTTTGACTATTATGAACACGATTGTACAAATATCTGTTTAACTCACTGCTTTAAATTCTTTTGTGTGTATACCCAGACATGGAATTGCTGGATAATATAGTAATTCTACTTTTCATATTTTGGGGGAACCACAATAATATTTTCTATAGTGCCTGCACCATTTTATATTCCCATCAGCAATGCACAAGAGTTATGATTTCTCCATATCCTTGTTATTTGTTATTGTTATTTTCTGTTATTTTAAAATTTGTTATTTTTTGTTTTTTAAAAAATTATAATAACCCTAATGGGTGTGAAGTGGTACCTCACTGTGGTTTTGATTTGCATTTCCCTGATGATGTTGAATATCTTCATATGTGCTTATTGGCCATCTGTATATCTTCTTTTGATAAATGTCATTCAGGAACTTTGCCCAATTTTTAATTGGGTGGGTTTTTTTGTTTTGTTTATTTGTTTATTTTGTTGTTGTTTTTGTTTTGCTATGTTGTTGAATTTTCGTTCTTTTATATTCTGGATATCAGTCCCTTGTCAGATATGTGATTTGTAAATATTTTCTTGAGTTTTCTGTGTCCACCCTATACTTTTAATTTATTTGTGCCTTTATATTTAGAGTTTCTTGTAAGCACATATAGTTGGGTCTTATCTTTTTATTAACTTTGCTAATGTTTACCTTTTAATTGGTGTTTTTAGTCCATTCACATTTAAAGTGGTTATTGATGTAGTTTGATTTTAGTACCTGCTATATTGTACCTGTTTTCTATTTGTTGTGTTTGTTCTTTGTTTCTTCCCCTCTTTTTCTATCTTCTCTGGTTTTAATTGAGCATTTTACATGATTCTTTATTCTTTCCTTTCTTAGCATATCCATTATTCTTCTTAAAAATTTTTAAAATTGGTATCCTATAGTTTGAAATGTATCTTTAAACTTAATCTAAGTTCACTTTAAAATAACAGGTAGTGTAGTTACCTTATATAAGAGTATCCCAATTCTTCCCTCCTATCACTTAGAACATTGCTGTTAATTCATTTCTCTTACTTACAAGCCAATATTTCTCTTTACATTGTTTCTGTTATTACTTTTAATATAGGTTAGGGACATGAGAACTATATAAATGAACTAAGTCAAACAAAGCTAAGTCAGGGTCTGCTACGTGCTGTCTGACATGGAACTGGACTGATTGGAGATGCAAGGAGACCTCAAAGAACTTCCAGATAAAGAAAATTCCTTCAAAGGTTGGTTAATAGCTTCTCACCCATACCTTATTGTTTACCCATACAATAAAGGCCACACAATATACATTATAAAGGTTAAAGTTAATCCCAACTTTTTGCTATTCTCTATTTCCCCATACTAGCAATTTTCCATAGAAACTACAAACAAATATAAGCTCAACCTCTAGAGATGGTTGGGGTCTCTTTTCTTTCTCTCATGAGGAGAATACACTAGTCTCTATGGAGTGGCTTTTCCTGCTTGTCTCTCTTCCATCACATTGGGGGTTAAGATTTTAACATATAAATTTGGGGGGGGGCGGGAAACACAAATATTCAGTCTATTGCAGAGAACTTAATATAAGATCTACCTTCTTAGCAAATCAGGAAACTTTTAAATAAAGTGATTGCCCTATGCATCTCTATTGGGTTCTTTCCACCATGGGCACAATAAAACTAACTAGTAAGGTCAAAAGCTTTACTTTTTTAATTTTAGGTTTTAGGAAGCTATAAGGAAACACTTTATTAATTAGCTACCTTATTAGCAAGAAAAACACTTTGAACTTCCTTGTTTTTATATGCTAGAGGAAAAAAATAAAGAAACTAGATTATTATTAATTTTTTATGCAACTATTTTATGGTACCTCAATTTTTTAAAGAAACTCAATTTTATAGATATGAAAACTAACTCAAATGAGGGTCAAATGTACATTTCACTTTTTATTTAAAACGTACTATCACATAACACATTTGATAGTTCCAATCTTCAACTTAGGAGCCAAGAATTTAAAGAGTGAGAAGGTACCTTCTGCAATTAAATTTCACATTTTAATTCCAGGGAGTATAGGGAACCAAACAGGGGAGACGATTAAAAGTGGGTACAGAGCAAGAAACAGGTTGGTTACCTTACTGCACATTTTTCAAGGAGATTTCTCTGGCAGGATCAATGGATCAGATAATAATACACAGTCCCCTACTGTCACTTGGAGAAAAGGATCCCCCTCTTTAAAAGTTTCCCCAGAGCCCCCTTCATGTCTCTGTTCCTCAGGCTATAGATGAAGGGGTTCAGCATGGGAGTCACCACTGTGTACATCACTGAGGCAATTATGTCTTTGTCATTAGAGTTGTTTGATGATGGGAAAATGTACAGGGCCATAGTTGTTCCATAGAATAGAAACACCACGGAGAGGTGGGAGCCACAGGTGGACAAGGCTTTGCAGATACCTTTGGTAGAGGGGATCCTCAGGATGGAGACCCCAATGCGGATGTAAGAGACCAGAATACCAGTAAATGACAGGATACTGATCAATCCCCCAGTAGCAAAGATAAAAATTTCATTGAGGGAGATGTCTGAGCATGAGAGCTTAAGCAGGACAGCGAGGTCACAAAAGAAGTGAGGGATAATGTCAGCACAGAAGGACAATTGAGCCAGGAGGATGGTGTGGGACAGAGCAATGCCACCTGAGAGAAGCCAAGTTCCAGCCATCAGAAATATGCACAGCTCCTCCCTCATGATGGTGGTGTAATGTAGAGGGTGACAGATGGCCACATACCTGTCATATGCCATCACTCCAAGGAGAAGGGTATCAATACAACCAAAAAATATGAAAAAATGCATCTGTGTTACACACTCTGGATAGGAAATGGATTGATCCTGAGTCTGCATGTTCATGAGCATCTTAGGGACAATGACAGTTGAAAAGGAGATGTCAGAGAAGGCCAAGTGGCTGAGGAAGAAGTACATGGGCGTGTGCAGGCGAGAGTCCAGCCTGATGAGCAGGATGATGAGCAGGTTGCCCAACACCGTGGTTAGGTACATGCCCAGGAACAGTGTGAAGAACACGCCCTGCTGTCCTGGTGGGATGGGGAGCCCCAGGAGGAGAAACTCGGACACGCTGCTCTGGTTCTCCCTCCTCATGCTGCCTTTCTTTCTGCTTAGATTGAAGGAATATTAGAAATGTCTCAGATGATAAATAGTGATAATGGCCAACACAGTTGGGTTATCTATTTTCTATGGAGAAATTCCTCAGGTGTTTCTCACATGTTGTTGCCTGAATCCTCACTCTCACACTGTAGGGAGATAAAGAGGGAGCCATCAGACCTGCAGTCATCCACAAAATGCCCTTCAGTGTAAAACAGATGAAATTTATTTATTTATCTAACCTGTTAGACACTGAACTCTTCTGGAGAAAATAAGATCAAGTTCCTTCCTTCCAGAGCTCACATTTTAAGGAATCGCTTCTTCATGAACTGGTTCTGAATATCTGAGAATCTGAAACTAGACTTCTAGTGGGTTCTGACTCTACCACTTTCTAGCTGGTTTCAACAGCTTACCTTCTAGCCTAATTTTTAATCTTTATCAAATAAGCATGATAATTCCTACCCATAGGGTTTGCAGAAGAATTAAATGATTCCATGAGAGTTATGGTATTTTAGTAGAGTTCTTTATGTGGTAAGGGCACAGCTATGTCCTCTGACATCTTCAGGCCAGTGTGAGTGTCCAGATAAATCTTGGCTGTTGTTTTTTAAATATTGGGTTGATCTTTAGGAATCTAATATACCAGAAATGTGAGGTGGGCATTAGAAAGGAGCAGGTGGCTGATCTAAAAGTTGTGTTAATCTATAAATTTGTTTTATTTGGATTAAAATATTTTTTTCTTTACCTATTTTTGTTGTTCATTTCTTTGAGTCTATCTTCAGTGAATCAATTGGCTAATATCTGAGATTTCTAATGCAGTAAGTCACCTAGAATCTGAGAACTGATAGATACTATAAGATTGGTGATGCCTATTAGAATTAATATTTACCTGATTAATGTGACTGTTTCCCAATGTCAATCTTAATGTAATTGACATTTGTTGAACATGTATTCAACTGTATGCCAGGCAAAAGGAAAGGATTTTTGCATATATATATTTATGTAGTGTGTGTGCATGTGTGCACATGCAAGCATGCTGAAACTAAGAAATGTTAATAAATGAGCTCATCATCACATGGCCAGTAACTGCTAGTCTTCATTTTCCCCCCTTCTGTCTATTTTATTGTCTAAGCTCCTATTGAACATATTCTACCTCACTGTATTTAATTAAGCAAAATAGTCAGGCCTTTGAGGCATGTTACTTCAGTGTTTCAAAGAGGATCTCTGTGCTCAATATTACCTTAATCGCCAGCTTAGATGTCTGCCCATCACTCATTCCTACAACCATTTATATGCCTACAACCTATAGTTTGCAAACAGCTTTCACATACTTTCAACTACATGCAGTCAATATATATTTTGTCTGAGAAGAAGAGAAGACAGAGACTTTTCTTTTCCATTCTACTAACCTGAGAAGTGAAGTCATTTATTTACACAGTGTGTTTGGTGGTGGAACTTGATGTCAAAGAGATTTCTCCCAATGCTCTTCTCATTAGAAACAGACACTTCCCATTTCTTTGCAGGGGAATGGCTGATAGAGTTGAAATGCCCATATTTTATGATGCCTGGAAGAGGAAACTGACATAAGACATGGGAATCCACATCTGACCGTAGATACTTGTTCCAGACTAGGGTGATTCTCAGGGACAATGGGACAGTAGGAGAAAGTTGGTGACCTCACCCCTTACTAGGCCTCCCTGCTCATTGACAATGGCTGGGTGAGACTTCCACTAAGATCTCTGGCTTCTCTGGAGGTGAAGTGGGGGTGCTGGGGGAACAGAAAACCTGATGTGTGCAGGCACAGCGCTGCAGTGTCAGAGAGCTAATCAGCGGGAAGGTAACCTTCATCTTGTGTGTAAATGGTCATGTGACCTGTGGTCAGTGATGAAGCCGTAAACTAAGGTTTGAGAGAATTTTGGCACGGGCCTGCTGTCCCTATTGGCACAGTGCATTCTCTCATGTGGAGCTACCTGGATGGGCAGTCAGGAAAGTCAGCCTCCATCTGAAGAAGGGTATACACTGGTCACAGTGACTGGTGGCTTACTGTGTGCCTGACACGTATTAAACTGTTGCCAGCGATATTGTACAGGAGCTATTATTATTCATTTATGTTTAAGGCTTCTGGCCTCAGAGAGATCAAAGTAAGGCCACAAAGCTATTGGAGGACAACTAGCAGATATTGAGGACACCCGAACCAGGACACTTAATGAGGCTGCCATGTTCCCTAAGTATAAATATGGATAATGCTAAAGGCCAGAGTGAGAAATATGAACCCAGGGCACTGGGGCAATACTGGAACATTCAACCCACATAGTCCAATGGCCCCAATAGGGCTTAATGTGGATCCAGTTTGTAAGTGCCTAACTACGTTCTGGTCTTGAGTCCAGAGGAACATCAGAAAGTGAGACTGTTCCATACATGGGTAAATATACAGACACACACACACACATGCTCTTAGAGTTTCAAGCCTTTACTTTCTACTTTCTCCCTATCCCTTCTACTCAAACTCCGATTTAGTAGAGGTGTGAGTTTGTTAAAAACAATACACACACTTCTATACATATGCTCAGCCTCTCTCTCTCTCTCTCTCTCTCTCTCTCTCTCTCTCTCCCTTACACACACACACACACACACACACACACACAGATAGATACAGAAATGTAAATATAGACATGTAATATTCTTGGTCAGTATCCTCCTATATAATAAAATTGTAATATGAAAATCGACTGAACAGTGGAACGACGGGTTGCTATGATGTTCACTGACCACAAGGGGGAAGATACTCAACACAGGAGCTGCCCCCTGGTGGTCAGTGTGCTCCCACAGGGGGAGCACTGCTCAGCCAGAAGCGGGTCTCACAGCTGGCGAGTGCAGCGGTGGTGGCAGGAGCCTCTCTTGCCTCCACTGTAGGCGGGCAGTAAGGAGCAAGGAGTCCCAAACTGTGAGAACCCCAGACTGCGAGAGGGATGTCTGACTGCCAGCTTAGGCCCGATCCCCCCTGGATCGGGCCTAAGCTGGCAGGCGGTAGTCTTCACTTTCTGTCCAAGAGACCGGGGAGCCACAGGACAAGATGCAGCCTCCATGGCCCAAGGACCTTCATAAATTTGCTTGTCTGTTTATCAGCAACAGAACAATGGGCAAGAGGGGTTTGTTTATAGCAGAAAGAAGACATTGGGGAGAAGACACCTAGGATCTTCAATAGAGAAATAGCTAACGTGGACTAATTGAACAAATTACTGCTGGCCTCTTGGGGAGGAGACTGTGCAAGGACCAGAGGGGCTGAGCCACTGGAGTCCCCCAAGGCAACGTCTCTGATGTCTTCTGAAAGGAGCACTCTGGGCTCCTTTGTATCTGATCTGGTGGTTCCAGGTGGGTGGCAGGAGAGGCCAGGGTCAGTCTGGGCTTCTCAAGTTTACACCATTGTAGAGTAAGCCTGTTCCTTTATCACAAGCAAGGCTCTTGTAGCTCCTACACATGCCTCCTCTAAAGGTCAGCAGGTCTCCCTGCTACCTGGAGGGCAGGGGCTGGGCCTCACTCAAATGGTAGGAGAATGACAGGATGGACTCTGTAGGGTCTTGAATTGAATTTGGACTCTGCCACTTACTGTGAGCTCCTGAACAATTTAATTCTACAGCATTCAGAGTCTTTAAGTGTAACGTGGTGATAAGAATAGTACCTTCCTTATCGGTTGTTGTAAGAATTAAATGATACAATGCATCTCAGAGTTCTTATCACAGTGCCTAACACATGCAAATGTTTAATAAATATTAGGGCATATCACCAATAGTGGCAGGGCACTTAATAAGCATTGGGAAATTAAGTGAATTAATTAATTAATTTGTTCTTTTTTTATAAATAGTTATTAAAGACTTCTTAAATGTGACAGTCTAGGCTGTGGGAGCATAGCAATGAATAAAATAGAAATACATCATCTGGCAGAGCTTACATTTTAAGGGGAGGAGGCAAACAAAAAATAAAACAAATCAATACACAACAGAATAAAATCACAAAAATCACAATAGTAAAATCCATGACATGGCAGTTGGTGAAAGGAGTCATGGAGTAAAACAAAGCAGGGAAGGGGTACAAAAGAGGACAAGAAGCAATTCAGAATTAATAGGGTGGTCAATGTAGGTGTCCTGAGAAGATGAGATATGAATTAAAAATAGTTTATTAGAATGGGAATGTTTTCATTAACCTTTCATTATCTGAGGAGGAAACTTCACACTCCACCAAATAATTTATTAAATCCACAGAAAAACTGACTAATGTATGAAATCCACATTTGGCCATAATCATTCTCAATGTCAACCTACAGTCACTGCTTCCACCACTGTAACTGCTGGGATGGCTGCCTCAGACCTCTCCACCTCTCAAAAATTCATGATCTTCTAGATCCTGCTTAAAGCTCTCTCTCAATCTAAAAAGATTCCCAAAATATCAATCTTGAAACACATATCTGCCCCCAAATATACCTTAGACTTTCGTTTTTTAAAATATTTTAATCATAAAAACAATATGTAATTATATATGTGTTTTTCCGATGGTCTTAGGCGACCCCTGTGAAAGGGTCGTTCAACCCCCAGAGGGGTCGCGACCCACAGGTTGAGAACCGCTGTCCTAGATCCCGCTTAAAGCTCTCTCTCAATCTAAAAAGATTCCCAAAATATCAATCTTGAAACACATATCTTCCCCCAAATATACCTTAGACTTTTGCTTTTTAAAACATTTTTATTGATTTTGGAGAGGAAGGGAGAGGGAGAGAGAGATAGAAACATCAGTGAAGAGAGAAAATCATTGATCTGCTGCTTCCTGCACAGTCCACACTGGGAACTGAGCCCGCAACCTGGCTATGTGCCCTGACTGGGAATAGAACCGTTACCTCCTGCTTCATAGGTCGATGCTCATCCACTGGGCAAGATGGCCAGGTTCAGCCCCCAAATATAATGTGGCTCATTTACTTTATCCCAAAAGATGTAGGCATGCCAAAGAAAGAGAGCTTTAGTTGACATTCCTCTTTGCCCAACTGCCTAAAACAGGTCTACACACATAGAAGGGGCTTAGTAATTGATGTAGTCAATAGATCAGCTCCCTTCCTATAAACCAAGGGGGGTAAAACCTAAGTCATAACCCAAAACACTGACACCAAAAACTGGCAAGGTTCTTAACAGGAACTGTCATTCATTGCTGGTAGGAATGCACAACAGGAGAGCCACTTTGGGGGACAGTTTGGCTGTTTCTATAAAACTGAGCATACTCTTCCTATACAAGCCAGCAATCACATTCCTTGGTATTTACTAAATGTGAGGAAAACTTATGCCCACACAAAAACCAACACACAGGTGTTTAATAGCAGCTTTATTCATAGAGTAATTGTCAAAAGTTGGAAGCAACCAAGATGCCCTTCCGTAGTTGAATGGGTACTTGTGGGGGCATCTGGATGGAGAGTCACAGGGTGCCTGTCTTAGTCTGTTTGGGTTGCAACAACAAAATACCATAGACTGGGGTCTTATAAAGAACAGAAATTTATTTGTCACAGTGCTGGAGGCTGAGAAGTTTACATTCAAGGTGCTTGCCAATTTGGTGTTTGGCTTGGGCTAGCTTCTTCATGGACAGCTGTCTTCTTGCTTCTCATGCCCTCAGATGGTGGGAGGGGCAACGGAGCTGTCTGGTGTCTCTTTCATAAGGGCACTAATCCCATCCATGAGGGCTCCAATCTTGTGCCCTAATTACCTCCACCCCAAATATCATCACATTGGGGAATAGGTTTTAACATGTGATTTTTTGGGGGAGGGCACAAACATTCAGTTTATAGCAGATATTAATTATGCAGTAGATTGTAACAATTCCTTCTGAGCATTTCCCTTTTTTCATTTGCTTTGAATGGTTTTACATTTCATGTAACACTGCTACCAAGGTGACTACCCCCTTTTCTTTTCTTTGAACTTTTGGATATTCTTTTGAAATCCATCTTCTAAAACACAATAATTTTTAGGTTCATTCACTTGTTTCTCAGCATTATTTAAACCCTAGGGCAGTGATGGCGAACCTTTTGAGCTCGGCGTGTCAGCATTTTGAAAAACCCTAACTTAACTCTGGTGCCGTGTCACATATAGAAATTTTTTGATATTTGCAACCATAGTAAAACAAAGACTTATATTTTTGATATTTATTTTATATATTTAAATGCCATTTAACAAAGAAAAATCAACCAAAAAAATGAGTTCGCATGTCACCTCTGACACGCGTGTCATAGGTTCGCCATCACTGGCTTAGA